GTTCTTTCTGGAGTGTAAGAGAAAGGAGCAGCGTTACAAGGATCTATCCTGCTGGGAATTTTGCATACCCTGACTATCCCCTTGGGAATGTTCTGGGAGACGGTGAAATGTAAATGTGAACATCAGCTATCCTGTGAGTCACCATAGAGGAAACAGTGAAAGGAACTCATGTAACCAAATGAAACAAATTTCTTAGAAAAATCACTTTAACTTTATAGTGAAGAAATGAGAGGTGGTCGATTTTTTAAAAATTAGTGATATAACTAAATTTAAAGTTTAGGATTTAAGATTATTGAATAAAAATTTAAAACACCTGCTTTACAAAAATTCAGTTTATATACAAATTCAGATCTACTTTGGAAAGATAAGTTTCATCTATGTTCCAAATTCTCTTCAAATTGTCTTTTCTGAAGAGATGTAATTCTACTTCCTCTGGACTGAAGCATATGTATCCTAAAGTAATTCTTTCCTTTTTTTTTTTTTCAGCAAGTATCTTGAGTTCTGAGAAGATTTGTGTCTAAGAAATAAAGAATTTGTTAGAGCCATGTCATTGTTTCTCTTAGCCTTCATTCATTTCCTAGGATGAGTTTGTAGGGAGTTTTCTGTTTATTTGTTTTCATTTGTTGTTAATGCCTTAATTCGTGCCTCAAAAGTCAGCATCCGTCAAAAGTTGGCAAGCCACAGTGTAACATCATTAGATTCCAGATCTCCAATTGAAATATTTTGTAAATTAAAAATAAAGAATGCTCAGGAATATTTGTAGAGAGTACCCAAGTGTTACGGTTTAATTTCATTTTTCACAATTTTTGAATGCTTTGTTCACATCTCTTCTATGTATATGTTTACATGTTACAGTCAAACGTATGTTCTGTAATCCAGTGTTGAGCAGAATTTTGCTATTCATTCTCCTAACCTACATTTACAAAGGGCTAAAGCACTAAAAGCAAAAACAGAAGCATTTTATTTGATTGAAGAATGTAAGGAAATCTGATTATTCACGTCTGAAAAACTAACCCATAGAATTTATAGACGGGCCACACAACAGGGATAGACTTTATTTCTATTCCTGGCGTAGGATCCCTCTGCCCCACTAGGAATCAAACATTTGTAAAAGGCGTTGAAGAGATAATATAACTTTCATTTCCAATATACGATAACCTTCCCCATCTAGAAATCCTCCTCAGAATTTAGTCCCTATGCTCTAATTTTATGCTCCCTCTTTTTAAAATCATTTCCCTCTTGTTTCATCCTCAACGAAGACTGAAATTAGCTGGTCACCATTATCTGAACAATAGTCTTTTCTGTCAGTGAAAACGTGAAATAAAGCACACCTTCACTTTCTTTTTATTAGACTATTTCAGAGTTATTTTTACCTTTTTTTTATAGATTTCCTTTATAATGAGGTGTTTTATTCACGAGTCCCAGAGCCATATTTGTTAAACTGTAAATATTCACTAACTGAAGTAAAATAAAATTTCAGCATTCTGAAAATGTTTGGTTAAACGTTCATGGTTTCAGCATGTTTTTCCAGAATGAGACTATATATATCACTTTAAGACATGATCATATGTTTCTACCTTAAGACAGGAATTAGGACTTTGAAAATACTTAGGAGAAAATATGCACTAAGAAGCTGATCATGATTATGACAGTTTTTCTTATTGTGCTTTTACAACATGCAAGGCATACTGAATGTGACATGCTCCTAATCCTCAAGACGTTCACAGTTTTATCAACATGCATCTAAAATATTATAATATAAAACAAGATACAAGATGCTATAGAGTCTAACTCTGCAGGGTAAACATGGCAAAGAAAAGGTCAAGAGAGATTACAATGTGGGGAAGTTTAAGCTGAGTCTGGAGTAGGGAATGCACCAGATTGCAAAGCAAAAGTAAAAAGTTTTAAAGCAAAAGGAGCACACACAAAGGCAAAGAAGCATAAAACAACTTGCTGTTTGGAGAACTGAAAATATTAGAAGGGCTCACTCTCAGAGAGTGGGGAGGAACAGTGTGCTGGGATGGCAAGAGTTAAAACTGAAACAGTAGTGAAGGCCGAGGTATAGAACAATGTTCTACACAGCTAAAGAATTAGGACTTTGTCCTGTAGGAAGTTTAAAGAGAAAATTAACGAGATCAGATGGCTGTGTGTTAATGCCATCGCAGAGAGTGGACTGGAAGGAGAAAAAATAGAAGGCAAGAACACCCATCTAAAGGCTGATTCATAGGTTCAGTCAAGGCAGAACAGGGTGTGAAGTAGGGTAAGCAAAACAGAGATGGAATAGAGGCCATGAAATTAGGCTATTTTTGAAAAGCAGAATCAACAACTTGATAAGCAATTGGAGGTTAATGGTAAAGAACTGGGAGGGATTGAAAAGACATCAAAGGTTTTCAGCTTGGATGGTAAGGCCATCAACCTAGAAAGGCAACAGAATTAAAAGAGAGATGTTGGTTAGGAAAAATAATGATTTCAACATTGGCCTTGCTGAGTGTGAATTGTCTGTACAGCATCACATTGAAGATCGTGGTTCCTGTGTACACGGTGTTTTATACCAACACTCAGCTGAGGGCTGAGGGGGTGAATCCAGAGGTGTCGCATTTTTCTAATTCACACAAAGATCCCAGTGGTGGATCAGGTGAAGATGTCCAGTAGACACGGGCAGAGTGGAGACCCAGGCTAGAGATAAAAACGTAGGAGACATAGCTACACAGAACTGTGCTGACCACTACAGTAGTCAATACCCACGTGTCTATCAAATTTAAAGCCATGATAATTAAAAATGCATTTCTTTAGTCCCATTAGCCACATTTCAAGTGCTCAATGACCAGCGTGGTTAGTGGCTACAGTATCGAATGGTACAGATATACATTATTTCCATCATCACAGAAAGTTCTAAGGGACATGCTGGCATGGTATGTGTAAAACCAGAGGAAAGATTTGGGGACAGAAACTCAGAAAAGAGAAGAAAGGAAGATGAGTGGAGTGAGAAGGAGTAATCAAAGGAGTACAAATAGAAAGGAAAAAATGATACCACTGTGGAGCAAGAGAAGAGAGTTCAAGAAGAAGAAATAGTCAAGAATACAAAAAACTGAAAAGAGGTCAAATAAGAAAAGGAGTAAAAAATTACCTTTAGGTAGTTATTTTACTCAGCATTTGGGATAGTACTGGAATCATTACCAGTTTCTTCAGATGTAAAATGATTCAATGAGACTATTCTCCAGCTCAGATGACAGGTTTAGCTTTTAGAAAGAACTCAAATGCTCCACAGGAAGGGAGGTTGGAAATGTGACCATTCTCTTGCCACATTTTAACAAAGAAGCAAAGGCCTTCCTTAGCCAGCATCCTTAGCTATCATCCTTCTAGGAGTTTCTAAGAGTCTCTAAATAAGGTCTATACCATTGCTGAATAAGTTTCTTGAAATATATCTAATAATAATATTCAGACATCAAACAGCACACAAATTTCTCTTTTCAGATCAAAAATCAAACGGAGAGAAGAGCAGTTACCAGCGGCTGGGGCAATGGGAAGTGGGGAGGCATTGTTAGTAAGTGTCAGTATGTGATGATGAGACAGTTCTAGAGATGGATAGTGTTGATGTTTGCACAACAACATAAGTGACACTGAATTGCACACTTAAAAATGGTTAAAAAATTAGGGCTGGCCCGAAAGCATAGTGGTTAAGTTTGTGCGCTCTGCTTCGGCGGCCCAAGGTTCATCTGTTTGGATCCTGGGTGCAGACCTACACACCACTCATCAAACCATGCTGTGGCCACAGGCCACATAGAAGAACTACAAGGACTTACAACTACGTATTGGAGATTTGGGGAGGAAAAAAAGGTTAAAATGGTACATTTTCTGTTGCATATATTTTACCACAATTTAAAAAATTTTTTTAGTGAAGCTAAACAAAAACATGTAACATGGGAGAGAATCTGGAAGAAACTTCTTACAACCCTTGACACCTGGGAAATTTAAGATACCAAACATAAAACTTAAAAACATTGCTCACAAACATCTGTTACGTGAAGTAACATAGGTATTTGTATTAGATTTATGATATTGGGTGTGAAAATAGGGGTTTGGTAAGTTGTAAGATATTAAATATCTCTTGTTGCTGTTGATATTGTCTCCTGTGAAAATGTCAATGGTCTGGAAAAATGAAACAAGTTAGAGCTTTCAATGGTGCTAAGAGAACAAAAATGTATTAGGCCAGTTTCACAATCAAGATGGTATTTATACCTTTTTCTTTACTATTCACACCTCAGGTCAATAGATGCAGTTAGCTGGTAGAATGGTAAAGCATAAATATCAGAAAAAACCCCGAGGCAACCGTGTTTGTACAGGCAAAATGCTCACTCTGCAATTACAGGAGGGCAAGTAGCCCATGAATCACTCCTCACGCATTCTCTGACAGCAGGCCCTGGAGCAAGGCTCAGGGAAAGAAATACTGAAGGGATTCTAAGAGAAGCCAATGGCTACTTCCATTTGTGTTACTGCAACCAGGAAGCAGAAAACGAGGCTAAGAATTAAATCAAAGCAGGTGAAAGTTCATGAAAGTAAAATAATATAAGCCAATGAATGCTTGGTGCAGAATTTTTGTTACACAATAAATAATCTCCTAGGGATTTTAACTACTAACTGTCTCCCATCAGCACCCAGACTTTTCCTTGTGAACATACTGAAAAACTGGAACAAACACTTGCATGATCATGGATCACACACTGTTTCTTCTCCAAGGAAATTAACCAAATACAGAGAACAAGACTACCTTTTAATCAACTCAGTTTTCCTTAGCTACTATTTAGAGCCCTGCTCAGATCATCAGGGATTCTGCTGATGTCACAACCTGACAAATAAAATCACCTCATGATTGTGAGCTAAAGAGGCACGGACACAATGCAAGAACAGACACTGGAAGTGGAACAAACCAAAGAGAAAGAAGGAAAGAAGGAAATCAGAAAGACAAAGGAAAATCAAGCGATGAGTCATACTATACTTACAACTTTCAGCCTGATAGTCTGGCACAAACTGCTCATCATTGTCAGGTACCTGAGCTGAAGAAAAAAAAAATTGAAAAAAAATTAAGAGAGAAACTGCCAAGGCATAAGGAATGTCAAGTAAGATCTTTCAAGTCAGATCTTTTTAGGCTAAGATCAAACCTATTATTATTTGCCAATGAGCTCCTATTTAAAATGGTATTGACAGAGTACTTAGGGGGGAAAACAGAAGCCATCACTGATGTCAACTAGAAAACATATATGTCAGAAATATAACGGTGGCAGTTGTAGTCCCTCTGAATTTCACCTGCCAGGTGAAAATAAAAGAGACATGCAAAATAAAAGAAGCTATGGGATTTCTATTAGCTGTAGTGTTACTTTTTGCAAGAATAGACTAAAAGGTATTCCAATTGACCCACTGCCAATGCTTAAGCAGCCCATTTAAATTGACACAATTCTTTCAAATGATGCAAGCTACCACACACATCCTTCTGCTTTTTAGAAATGTCTGCTTTTGGTATGTTCAGTCTATTACAAATTAGACTACCATAATTAAGAATGTTTGCCCTGCATTTGGCCAAAATATGTGACAAAATTTTTTAAATGAAAGCATTGACATTGATTTTGGTCATTTAATAAAATATTATGTTTCATTGATTATGGTCATGATAAAAATAATAAATGATAAAAATAAACTCCATTTTTTCATGCAAAATATTTTCCTAGTGACTATTCAGCACTAACAAAAAGAATGTCACTATTTCATCAGTCCTAATGTCAGAGGACTTCCCTATTTTTAGTAAAGGAAAAAAATACTGAACAGCCAGGACTTAATGCATTTGGCAGCAATCAAAACACAAGTACGCTTTTTCACTTCTAGAATATTTTCATCGTGGCTGATTGAGACATCAAAATAACCTATTTCGAATTGACAGAATATTACGAAAATAAGTTTCTACACGCACACACAAACATGCACTCACACACATACAAACTATATAACATAGAAGTTAGGTTACTTTTAATTTGGTAAAAATACAGTGTATTATCATCCTAATTAACGTTAGCTATGATCTAATTAGCTAGTATTACTTTATTAGTATTATCTAATACTGAAACTTTTTATCTAATCAAGTCATATTAAAACAAATGTCAATTAATTTTTTAAAAAAGAGTCTATTCTGTATGGGAGATGCTTATTAAAATAATCAGTCTCTATTGAAAAAGTGTTGGGCTGGTAACTGAATGAGTTAAGAACAATTCTACATAAAAAGAAATTCTATACTAAAAATTCCATATATAAAAGGAATACAACATATAGAACATATAAACAAGAAACATATAAAAGTTTCTTTTAATCGGTTTATTTAACAGTATTTTTAAAAATAGAAATTTTGGGCTGAATAAAGTTTATGTTCTATTATGAACAGCAGAACTAATGATAATCTTGCCTATTACCAAAAGATATGCAGTTTGACATTCATTCTAACAACTTTATTCAGTATACCAATACTAAAACTTATTAGAGACAAATTCCATTCTCTGGCACCAAATGAAAGCAAAGAAATTAAGAACTTTTTTTCCAAATTATAACTGATGTCTATTTGATCAGCCTATACCAGAAGAAGAGTTTTTTTTTTCCCTCCATAGTCCACTAACATCTGATACTAGCTATCATGGGTAACTAAAGTCATGCAAACTTCAGATCATAGTTCTATGACATAGAAGCTGTGTAAACTGTGTAACATTATTTACACTCTTTGAACTCCATTTACTCATCTGTTTAATGGTGATAATGCAGGCTTTTTGTGAGCATTAAATGAAATAATCTAAACACAATGCCGGATACTCAAGAAATGTTACTTATTTTCTTCTTTCCAAACCTCCACCACCCACCCATTTTTTTTCAATTCACACACAAAAAACTACTTCAATCATTACAAAGTAAGTTTAAAATCTTTACTTTCAATGAATTATATTGGAGACTAATAAAAGTAATAGCTAAAATTTGTACATTAGCATTCTCTTAGCTAAAAACACCTTTTTTGCCATTGCAGTCAGCTTGATTTTTCTCACAGACTCACAAATTATTAAGTGGAGGAGTACCCGTTAAAATAAATCTTCATACCAAAAAAAATTACAAAAATGTTTTTAATAAATAACATAGACACTCAAATTCTACACGTTTTTTCCATCATATCCACATGTTTTGGTTTTCCTTCTAAATTAACGGCTAAACAGATATAACTATTGAGATTCAAAATTATCAAGCACAGCAATTACTATGCTTTTAAAAAGCTGGCATTTACAAGAATTTAATAAAAATGTAATACCTCTTTACAGGAACAGTTAAAAATAGCTGGTGAGTAACAAAAATATATTTGTAACTAAATATGCTGGTATGAATGTCCTAAAGATCAGACTTTTTTTTTTCTTACTCTCATAAGACAAAGTTGTAACTCCATGATACGCATCACTCACTGCAGGGAAGGCATAAAAATCACTGATGGATAAGAAACGTGTGTTGGGCTACGTGTGGAAAAAAGGGCAAAACTTTAGAAGCAGAGGAAACCAGAAATTATACCTCACAAATATACACAAATTAGCTGCATACTCACAATTTGTAAAAAAGAATAAGGATAAGAATTGCTATTTCTGTTCTAACTCCTTAACATACTGAATAAATACTTCACACTTATGCCTGAACATATTACAGAATTTTAACAAAAAACATATGACTCACATTTTCACAGAAGCTAATCTTAAGAAACTGAATAGACCAAATGAAGCAGCATGCTACTTAAATAGACAAAGGCTTAAGTCTACTTCTCATTTCAAGTTAGAGTAAAAGGAAAGCAGTTAACGAAAAACACAAGTTGGATCTGGGCAAGGAAAATATGACACAGTATTGCCACACTCGGTTCAGAGATTTCCTTTTTTCCCTCAAGTCCCGGGAATTCTGTGAAGTAGCAAACTGCAGCTGCCTGCAAATTTGTGGCAAGCCATACCAACTCCAAAGTGGAAAATTAACAATAGAGGCCAACCTAAAAAAAACGCTTTTTTACTGCTGTCTATTATAAACTATGCTTGGAATAATCACCTTTGGGGAATGAAAATGTTTCCCCACACTACGTAATTAAAGAGGAAGGGGAAGGAAGAGTAAGAAAGGAGAAGGAGAGAAAGTATATACCCAAAGACCAATAAAAGGCTTTCAAGAAGATTAAGCATGCGGATTTTATTGGTAATGGCTGGAGCGCCTCTATCAGTTCATTGCACATTAATAGACAAGTTGCCATCAAGTCTCAGGACTTCAGCTTTAAAAGGCCAGCATCTGCACTCTCAGCTATCTGCTTCACCTAGATTATTATCCAAAGTTGTTTTTCTCTCCTCTCTTTCTTTTTACTACATAGCAATCCATATCATGAGAAAAACTCATGAAAATACTAATAATGATGTGGACATCACAGAATCACTAACCCTCATTTTCAGTTTTAATATACTTTCTTAACTCACATTTCCTGGGAGGTGGGCAATTTTTAAATAGAGTTTGCCTTTATTCTATGCTTCTTTTAAACTTTCAAATAAAATAATAATTATTACTTAAGAAAAGGTGGGTGTTTAAATATTTTCCAAGGTTGGCTGCAGGCAAGTTAAAAGCCCCTTTTTCTTACAAACTAGGCGCCTGTTGAGTTTTCCTTTAAAGCTAGGAAAAAAGTAGAAAAACTACAAATGAAACAAATGTCAAGTATAAAAGGGGTTAATATTTAATTAAAACCAGTTCTATCCACTGTAACAATGACCTGGAGCCAAACAAGGCGGAAGATGTATGAGTCATTCTTTCTGCCCGTGAATGAGACAGCTGATCTCCTCAGCAATTCCTCCAGACAAGCAGGCAGAACTGGAGTTCTGCCTCCATTCACAAAAACACAGTCCAGCATGAGCCATGTGGCCCAACCGCAATCTTTTCATGTCACACCCTTCCAGAGAGCTAAAGCAAGTCAACTTGAACTTACAATATAAACACACCGATTTTATTGCTCTATCTCAAATACAGCTCAGATCCATTAACGTCCACATTTAAATAAATGACAAGTTTACAAAATTAAATCCACATATATTTATATATGTTTAAGCCATCCTGCTTTATAGGACCTTGTTACAGAAACTTGAATGTACAAAACCAAGAAAGGAAGGAAGGAAAAAGGAAGAGGGGAAAGAAACAAGGATGGGAGGATGGAAGAATGGATGGAGGAAGGAAGGAATGAAGGAAGAAAGAGGACAAACCATTAAAGAAAAGCCTTATTTTTCTTGCCTGTTATTCAAATTTTCTTTTTCCTAGGATTATAATAGATTATTGCTGAACTTTGTGGCATTTCACTTTGAATCACAGGGTTAGAAACAAGCTTCTCTGAAGACATTTAAATTTTATTTTAAATAAAAGTAAAACAACAAGAAAATCAACCTTCGCACAGTGGTATTCTGTTTAATCCTGAAACGAAGCTTCAGGCCATGGAACAAAATAATCATGAGGCCACTAAGCCTAGTTTTATACCACATCCGCTTTTAACATTAAAACGATTGTACCAGTGTATAAGCATTAATTAATGCAGAAGTATAAACATATTTAAACATACAAAAAAAAGGGCCTATTTCCTCATGACAGAAACATCTTTAATACTTGATAAAGACATCCTTTCTCTATGCTCTGAAAGAAAGAAAACAGTAAGTTTTAGTCGTCTTTGGTCTCAAATCAGCTTCAATTCCTAACTCTAAACTGATCCATATAGTGACTTGAAAACTTAAGAGTACCTCAGAACTGTTGTTTCTAGCCAAATATTTGCCCCAATGCTACAGAGGTCTGACTTTATTATTAGCGGTATTTTAATTACAACATTGTACACAGGTCAAAGGGAAGAAAGGTACATTATGAAAGTCAAGAAATTACACATTTACTACAACTAAGCTAGAAAAGCTCAGCAATATTTCAGTAACATTGATTAGAACCCTCTGGAAAAACTGTATCTAGGCTACATCAAATTCAAATTTTATTTGGAAGAAACTTTTCTATTTTGCAAATAGACCCTAGATGAAAAGGCATTTATATAATTCCAATGAATATTTAAAAATATAATACATTTACTCTACATATCTTTTATTCAAGTCAAAACAAGAAGTCTTTCATATTTTAGAGTATTTCCTGGCACAGCAAAAAGAGGGGTGATAGACCTCCCTTCCCTCTTACAAAATGACTCTTGCTCAATTCTAAAACATAGTATGGACTTCTGTAATTTAACGCTTAATTCTCAATTCCTTTTTTATGTAAACCACATAAAATAGTGTAGTTTTTAAAGTCTTTATTCCTTACTGCATCATATGAAAAAGAAAAAAATTTCGGAGCACACATCCAATTCACGTTCCATTTTAAAAAGAAACAGTATAATTTTTGAAAAATAAAAATGAGTGCATTATGCCTATTGTGTATCGTGGATGACATTATGTACAGAGAGCGACAACAGCCTATAGTATTTAAGGAACATCATAACAAATGATTTTTAATATAAATTTAGTGTCAGCCACTGAAGTGAATTGAGGAGATACAATATCTCTACTTTTAAGTCAACCTGACTATTATTTGAAGGTCACAGAAAACAAAAGAAAAAATAGCCTGATCTGCATGAGGTAATAACTTTTGGTGTAGAATGGTTGTTCTTGGAGATAAAACTTTGACTCAAGTGTGGTGGCAGCACGAAACCCTGCTACACCACCACTGAAAAATATTTTACCCCGATGGCAGGGAATCACTGTTGACTTTTTTCCTTAGTATTACTGATGAAAGGGAAAAGCAAGAACATCTACACCCACATGCAAAATAAGGTTCGAAAGTTGCTATATATTTACAGTACATACATATGACATTTTTTATTTCTCTTTAAGTTGTGTTGGTAGGTAAGCTTTAATAAGCATCTTTAGAAGAATGCAATCCTTTTTAAACTCAATTTTACATCCTTCTATTTCTGTCCCCCCCACGCTAAAGGGTCCATTTTAACTATGAATTTCTGGGACACCATTCACTAAAGCCCCACTTAAAACAGATTGTTAAGAACAAGATGTTACCACGATGATGATGGGATTGATATTTGAACTCATTATTTCATGGGATCAAATAATTGAAATGGCCTTTCTGTCAGTAGCAATCTAATTCAAAAGACAAAGAATCAATAAAGAACTGTACATAGTAAAATTACAATATAAAGTAGCTATGGCAAAATTTAAAATAGGCACATTCTCTAATTTTTTTTAACTGCTACTGTGGTCACTGAAAACATTACCTTTTCAATTTTCTTCAGAATGAAAAGTGATTATTTTAAATTGTGGTATATATGTTAAAAACTTTTAAATTGCAGTGTTAGTACTCAGAAAGTGATACGAATATAAAGTTCTATTCTTCACAAATATATTTTTGAACCTCGTTTGGAAAGCAATTTTGGGGCAGAACGGCAGTATGTTTTTAGAGAGGACTTTAGCAAATTGAAAATACCGGTTCTCACCCCGCCCTCAAATAGTCCTGCCTTACCTATCCCAATTTCTCCATTGACATAAAACACATTTCATAATCCATAATAATTCAGCTATGACTGATCCTTACATTGCACTTTGGGTCTAATCTATAAAAATTCTTACAGGAAAAAGTAAACATGCTAGGATGTATCATTTTCCAAGTATTTAGGGACTTGGATAATTTTTTAAAAACACGATTTTTACATGACACTTTACAACTACCTTGACTCTCACGTCTAATAAGATTTTTAGATCTGTTTAACTTCCAGTGGGATTCTAACTCATGGGAGAAACTTGGCTAATTGCCAATGATCTTTTTTAAAAGGGTCAAGATGCCTTAAAATTCCATGGTCACTTTCATGGCTACAAAGCGCTTTGAAAAGAAATATGTAAATGGTTCGTAGTCTGCCAATTTGGCAGTGTTTTAATTTCTGGATGTCCAGAATGACATAAATGGACAAATCTAGCTACGAATAAACTAGTGTAATTTTGAGATCTCTTCTTAGCTAATATTGTTCAAGATGTGGGATAAGTCAAGTCAAAAGGCTAATGCAAATAGTATAATTACATATAATTGCTAAAAATAAAAATAAATGTGCAGTCTATTAACAAATAGTAAAAAACAAAAACTCTTCTCACTGTTAGATTTAAAAAATTGTATTAACTTTTGGTTTATATCATGGTAGGATAAATTAATGTAAGTTATTTTGAAAAACGTTTAAATTGTTCCAAATTGCAATCTTATCCATAGTTTGTAAGTAGCAGCCCACCTGCATCTTCAGTAAGACACTCCGAGGACTAATTCCTGAACTTATTTAAGCTTATGAATTCTTTTCTAAGTAAAAGTCCATGTTCCTCCAAATACATCAGTCATTTTCTAGGTTTATTTTATATAAAGTTGAATCTTCAGAACTGATTTACAGGTATGTTAATAATCATGGGTAAGAATATTCAGTGCAGAGTTTTGAAAGATAGACTGGGATAAATTATTCAAATCACTTATCCAAGAGACAAAGGAACAAAACAAGTCAAAAGTAAAAAACTGTGCTGAAACTGATTATAAAATGGTAAGAGTCTGTCACAGATTCCACATTTTAAAATTCCAGGAACAGAGTTGCTATGCACATTCAAAATCTGCCAGCAAGTGCACTGACTTGGAATCAATGAGACTTAAACATCTCAAGAACCAACAAACCTTCCAGAACAATTAAAATAGATATTTTGAGTTATTTTGGAGAAGCGAATAAATTCCCTTAATGTTCTCACAAGCTTCAACTTTGCAAAACTAACAGATGAAAGTTAATGCAAGAACCTCTGTGCAAATTTTTCTTGAAAAAGTTACGTTTGAATACATGGCTTATGTTGCAATAATAAGTAATCTATTGCAATAAGTTTCATTTACAGAGACAAGCAAAATGACCTTTAAATGTAAGAAAAACTTTCATTAATACTTACCTTTCATTAACATACAAATACAATCACCCTTTCAAAGGGCTACTAGGAAATCTATTTAACTGAAGATTCATAAAGATTGCAAAAGCTCTTTGGAGAACTAGAATATCACCAAAACAAAGAAACTTATTTTACATGCTAACAGCAACTTGATCAACTGCAAGCAAGACCACTGATAAAATGCAGCAGTCTGCCTCAAAGTAGAATAGCCACACTTGGGTTCCATTTAAAGAGACCCTCTCTCTTCTTTTAACCATCTTAAAAATCTGTTCCAAAAATTGCATGTTTCCCATACAATATAAAGACAGAAATAACACAGTTATACTTAGTGCTTAAATATCTATAATTTTCTCTTTGTGTTTCCCACAAAACACATCACAGGATAAAATTAATATTTCACATTTATTATGACAAATAGAAAAGAAAAATTTCAAACTACGGACGCGAAGAAAAATCTCTCAACATTAGGCAGTTCTCAAGCTGTATAAAGCTGTACTGAAGCAATATCTCATTGTTCCAAAATAAAGTTTCACACAATAAAAGGTACAATAGATTGCAACACAAAATTTTATCAAATAGTAATCAAAAATCAAAGTAATGCCCTCTAAATGTCTCCTTGCCGTAGTAAATAAATTCTAAAACAAGTGACATAATAGCAAAAATCAATTTCAACAAACATCACATAACAGTAACAAATAAAAAACATTTTTAAAATTCTCAAAGCCCCCAAAGATTTATTTTAAAGCCACAGATTTCCTAAGTATTGGATACACACCTAACGTTCTGTGTTGTGAACAAGGTGGAAAGAAGACACTTGCACTTAAATCTTGAAGCATCCCGTCCTGATGAACCCAGAGAAACTAATTTCTGCCATCAGAAAAGTCCTCCACCAGAACACCAAATAATGATATGCGCTGCTCTAAAGGAAACAGCAAGCCGGGTTCTGGCTCTAGGAGGTCTCTCGAGGTACAATAATATAAACCTGATCAATTGCAATTAAAATCTGAACAGAGGCTTAGAACTTGAAGTCTTGGTGCATTAGTTCTTGCCAAAAGCAGATGTGATTGTGAGCTGGAAGCAATTTCTCCTGGTAATTTGTGATGACACTGGGTAGTGCAGCCCCACATTCCCCAAAGACAAACTCATCAGCGGCTCTAATGTATGCATGACACATGAGGTGGCTCTTTTAGAGCTCAATTAATTGGGCTGAACATTAAGACAGCAAGTTCAGGACTTTTTTTTTCCCTTCTAGAGTTGCTTTCCCCCTCCTTTTAAAGCAATTTTTTTTTTGCCTTACCTTCTGCAAGCCATGTTTCCTGTAATTGACTTAGATCTTGAAAGAGTTCTAAAAAACAAGTCAAAGACATAAACAAAAGATTTGCAAAGCTTTAGGCTTCATTAAATGGAAATGTTTGTCATGAAATTGGTATTAAATATCAATTTAATTTGGGGAGGGAGTCAACATAAAAAGAAAGAGGATTCATAACTTAAATATCTCACTGATCCTGCCCATTTTGATGGCTATTAAGCAACACTTCTTTAAGAAATTCTTTTAGTCGACTAAATAATAAAGTCATTATCTTTTTTCTCCCCCCTTTTAACAAATACCTTAATAAATAAACTCAAGGACACCAAACACACATACACTAGGATTCACAAAAAGGCTGAGGTGAAGGTGTGTCTTTCCACGGAAATCTTTCTTAAATATATTCAACTCTTGCTAAAATAGTAGTAGGGGAAAAATTTTAAAGACCGGAAAATATTTTATATATATCTTCTGAATCTGATGTAAAAGATGTAACAGGATATGGTGTAATTCTCCAAATACTATATGTTTTCAGGTTCAATGCTTCCAAACTAAAAGGGACAGCTTTTAAATATAAGATTTTAGAGGAAAATTTCTACTATAGGTAGACAAAAGCTTTACAAAGGTCAGAGAGATAATTCCCTGGTACCTGTTTCTTATCAAGTCCAAAACTGTGTGTTTTGTCATAGCGGGGAGGGAGAGGGGTATCCAGTTAAGTATGAAGATTTGAGGAAGTTTCAGAATTCAATATACCTAATCTAAAGGGCAAACTGAGCTTTGATAATTAAATCTAAGTATATTAAGTTTATTGTGAATGTTCCCATATGGCTGGAATAATTTATAATACATTGACCTCCTACCAACAGTTCATAAAAAGAATCTGCAACTTAATTTCCCAAATAGGTATTATAATTACTAATTAGGCCTTAATTATGATTCAGTGAACACTTTAAGGCCTGTAAACAAAACATTATGATCTCACAATGGAGTCATCAAAATCATCCATGAAAATTTTGATAATAGTATATGGTTTTAGTGTCAGGGGGATGGGAAATCAAACAATCACTTATATTGTTTAACTTCTAATAAAGTAGAAAGGAGAAATTAAGCAGTGTACATAGCTGCTTATTTGTTCCACTGTGTTGGATATTTTTAAATTGTTACCTTAGTGTATGCGATTAGTTATATGCCATATGGACATGGGTATTTAAACACAAAAGAATGATTAAAAGAAGGATGTCAACTGTTAAGTTTTTATTTCCTCCTTTCATTAGTTTGTGACAGGGCCATAAAATATCCTCCAATGCAAATCATCACGTTATGTTAAGTGCTCCAAGTAAAAGTCTTACTTAAATGCAGTAATTTGAAAGTTTATCATTTTTAACCTAAGACTGAAGTGCTCCTCTTCTCTATGAGGGTGGAGAGTATAGGTAAAGAGGGGGTATTCAGCCCCAAATCAAACCTCACCTTCTGAATCATGAGCCAGATCTCTGTTAATGAATTTTCTTTTCCTGACATTTGTTGGTTTCTCGTTACAATTTCTCCCACGCTGATTCTACAAAGGGAAAGATAAAATCCTTTAGAAAAATGTAAACCTCAGATGTCACACACAAAAAACACATGCACACATAGTCTACTGAACCCTCTCTCTAAATAGAAAAATCAAACTCAAGAGTATAAACGCTAATATTCATTTTCTGCCTTTATTTGACAGTGAAAGCTTATGCTGAGAACTCAACAGCCAGGGAGAGTTGCTTGCCAGTGCCGATCATAACACACTACTATTTATCAGACATATACTCATGGTATCTCAGCATCAAAACAACATTAAGCAATTGCACTTAAAGTCGTTTTTAGGCTGGATCAAAGCTAGTGATCAAATTAAAATACAGTGAATTTTATTCTCTGATAACCCCCCCCCAAAAACAAAAGGAGAGTGGTGAAATAAAAAACAGAAGAGAGAAAATGAGAGAAAAAGATAAAGAAACAAAAACAGCCCATGTAAACAAAAAGTGTCAGCATTTGTCTCAACTTCATTCTTTTCAATGTGGCAGACAAACCCAGCCAAAAACTTTGAGTGCAGCAGCTGCTGCTGCCCTCCATCTCCTCTTGCACTCATCTTGGGCACTTTAATCAGAAAAAGGGGTCTTAAAAACAAAACTATGCCTTATCCAAATCACTGAAAGGTAAGCTCATTTTGAAGATTGGGCTTCTAGAAGCAGAGTCGCCCTACAGTGGCAACAAAGCAGATAAAGTATCTGCAATCCCAACCCCCTTGCCCCCCTCCCTTCTCATTCTCTCCCTCCCCCCCCACCCCCCCGTCGGAGTCAAGTTTATAAACAGCAACTTTCGAACTGATCACTCACATTGGTGACCATGTAAGGCACTTGCTGGTCATAAAATCCATCCATTCTGCCGCTCTTCGCAAATCCCAGCTCAGTGTTTTATATTTTGAGCATTTAGCTGGAGATTTCCTCGGGATCTGGACTTCTATCAACCTAGAGGGGAACAAGATGGCTTTTAGGCTAAAAAAAAAAAAATTCATGAATGAAGCTCTTGAATTTGCATAGCTAATTACCCTCCGACGGTCCCATTCACAAAAATAACCCTCCCTACACCGCCTCCTTCACCTGGATCCAAAGAGAGCCAAGAGAGTTCACAATTTACATATTTTCGGCAGTAGCAAAAATCCGAACAAGAGGCGATGTATTTATTTACACTCTCGATGTTTCCCTGCGCGGTCGATGTACCCCGGGCAGCTCTGATTCGCAAACGTGTGCAAAACTAGCAATGGCGATCAACGAGACTTGCTTTGCACCTAACGGGACTAAAGAGACGGAGACACCTCTTTCATAAGGATAGTTTTTGCACCCCGCAACCATGCAATTATCTGGAGAGACACAAAAAGTTGTTGGAAAGACCCACCTGAAGGCCACGCTAGGCGAACGGCTGCAAAAAATTCCCTCTAAATTTAATAAAAACATTAATTATTGCCCAGCACTTCCCCCTTGGAAGCCGAAAGCGCCTCTGACAGAGCTCAATTCGGTGGTTTTTCCTCTACTTCTCCTCCAGGGGCCTCCAATCCAAACTGATGGATCGCTGCCTCCCATTGGCTCCGCGTCTCTTTCACAAGATCAGATTTCGGGCTGTCAATCAGGCGGCTTGCTGCCCCTTCTCCTGGATCTTCCGCGCCCCTCTACCCAAAGCGGGTGCTCCACCGGCTGGCGCAGGGTCCACAGCCTGCAAACGCCACGGAAGAAATCGACTGCCTTCCCAACCCGCTGCTTATTGTTAAGGCGCCCGGGGACTCTGAAGCCATGTGTATCGAGTCGCCAGTTCTCCTTACTGGTGTGTTTGGTCACTACTGGGCTGATTTCCTAAAGCACTTTTGCTCGGCTCAGGTATATACCCTGAAGTGCGATCCACTAAGCCTGTGCCTCCTTACTCCCCCTCCTCCCCTCCCTTAAGATCTGCAGCCCCCCTACTTTTAACCGAAGGGGCACACCTCGCTCTGTTGCCTCGTTCCCAACGACCTTTTGGCCCAAGTTCTCTTCTCGTTTTGCAACACCCACCACCACCATTATGGTTTATCAAAAACATTTTTTTTTGACGACCATCCTCAAGTAAAACAAGACCTTATCTTTCATGGGACAGTAAAATAAAAAATCCATGGGGGAAGCACCTGGGAGAAGCAGAGGAATTCCTTGTAAGGAGGGTTTGCGTTGGAAGGGAAAACGGAGGACTACAGAGCGATTTAGGTGAGGAAAAGTAACAAAATCAAATTTGTCTCACATGTACACTGGGACAACGTGCTTCCAGTCCACTGTGGAGGTGGGGAGGAGCAGGGAGGGAATGGAGTGGCTCGGATATCCTAGGGACCCGCAGGCTTCTCGAGCTTTTGTTATGTATACACGGAGGTAGAGGGTGTCTCTTACTGTACTTGACGCTTTCACTTCCTCTCCAGCTTTTAAACAGCCAGAGCCGGAGTTGGGGGCGAGTGGTGACGGGGCTCGGGTTTCAAGGACAATGACCAGGACGTTAAAAAGTGAGGGCTGCAACTCTGAAAGCACTTGCCCTGTCCTCCTATGGGGCTTGCAGCTCTAGTCTCTTAAGAAGACTCGGCTTAACAGGGGATGGGAGGCCTCGGGGATGGGACCAGGGACTCAGTGGTGTTGAAATTGACTGGTGACGACCAATGCTAGAGACCAAAGGACGTTTCCGGCAGCTGTTCCACCCGTTGGGAAACGTGCCGCAGTTCTCGATTTCTGTTTGAAAGTTTCCTTCCTTAAATGGAACGTTATGTAGACGCAGGAGTGTGAACGCACAACACTCAGTTCAGGATCCATGTAAGGAACGAGGAGGGGAAAGATCTGTATCAAAAACAATTTTTTTTAATGTATAAAAAAACATGACTGGGGAAACGCTCAATAACTGTGGACAGCAAGGACACACACTGTACATTCCCTGAAACTTGTAAATCAGAGTAGCTGGTGCTAACACACGCACCTACAAGCATTTTGAGCGGGAACTGCACTTTAACCCTGGCCAGGGAGGGGTTCCGAGTGCAGCCTGGACCTGGCGGCGAGGATTGTGAGGTTTTGGATACTTTCTGAGGGTGCAATCAGGCGGCAACCCAATAACAAGGGTGTCCCGCCGCACAGCACTCCCCGGATAACCCAGCCCCTGTAATCTGAGCAACAGTTTCCAAAGACCTTCTCTGCAGCCGGAGCCTGACGGGTATCCAGGGTAACCGGGAGGGGGCGGAGCTTCGGGTTAGGCCCCCGCGAGGTTCTCGCCGCAGCCAATAACGAACCGTGTATTCCCAGCCCATTGTTGTTTACTGCTGACCCCGCAGCGCTCCGCTAGGAGATTGGCCGTTTGGGGAAGGGGGCGGAGCCTCTCCCGCCCTGCAGCCACCTTTCGGCTCCATTCACAAAATTCCGGCTTTCTTGATCACGTGGTTGGGGGCGTGGAGGGGCAGGGGAAATGACACAACAAAGGCCCAAGTTTCCCAAACCACAAAACTTTTTTCTGCCTCGCTACCTCCTCTATGTCCCGTCCCTAAACAAATACTAGAAGACGAGGAAAAGGAGCCTTGGGTCTGGGAGCAACAACCAGAGGGAGAGAAAAAAGTTCGAAATGAAAGGAAGGCTCACAGGGGGATAATTGTAGGGTGCACTGCATACGAGAAAAGCTGCGAAAGAGGAAAGGAAGAGAATTCAGGAGAGTGGGAGAAAGCCTTAAGGACAGACTAGTAACTTTTGCTTGCTGTTTTAGGTCACTGATTTTACAAGTGCGAACAGTTCGATTGTAGATGGAGTTCAGTTTTCTCACTTAATACTCTGTAATTTTCATTTCTACTTTGGATTGATCCCAGTTTCTTGTTAACATTTTAAAGCTTCTTTCAGGAATATTGCAGGTTTTCGCTGGCTGACAGTTTTAGTTTCCATTTCCCAAGTCATCACACTTTCACAGGCCCCCAAAAGCACCCCCCTGTCCCCACTAGCCCTGGACTGGCAAACCGAAAGGGCACGCTAAGCCTCCAATTTTACTACGTATTGCGGGGGCTCCATATTTCGGTTTTGGAGTCTTTAAACGAACTCAACTTTTAACTATTTGATCTTAACAGTAATTGATGTTATGTGAATAAGCGGACAGTCTTGCTACACCTCAGTTTTGTTGAAATAGCATAAAATTTTGAGATAAATATGTCCCCCTAGCAAGTGAGCTATTGAACCAGACTCCATTCTCTCTTCTGTCCTTTCTGTGCCGTGATGCTTCGTGAGACACAAGCTTTTAGTCTGGCTGCTGTTTATCTTCTATGCTTGGCACTGGGAAAAACCAATAGACCTAGTGGCGGGAGACATCGCAAGGGCTGAAAATTCGTCGTTCAGAAAATGTTACCCTTGTGGAAAATGTCTACAGAGGCAGCTGATGCATCCCCAGGGAGGAACATCAAAAGTTGCACAAAGTTTCCACTACCTTTGAAAGTGAGTCTTTTAAAAATCAGCTTAGTAAATGCCAGTGCTTCTTGAATGGAAAATTTCATTTTGGCAGGATTTCAGGCACAGAATGGCAGAGCGGAGGCCAAGAGGCTCTGACATTTATTTACTTGTATTTTGAAATCCCATTTGGGTTTTGAAATAAGAGCTCTTGAGAGAAAGCCTCCCTTCCAAAAAAAAAAAAAAAAAAATCCGTTTCTGAGTTTGGAAAGTTTTTAACTTGCATATAAAGCTATTTAAATGTTTATGGTTCCTTTGCTGTTATTTAATAAAGTAAAATAATACTTATTAGTGGCTTTTCTACAGTTTACTTATTATAACATTCTACTGAAAATGCATGATGTTAAATAAAGCAAATTTCTAAGAGCAGCAAAAAAAGGAAACAAACTAAAAGGATACTGCTGGTTTTAAATGGTGAATATGATTAGAATTAAATAAAATTTGCTCCAACTAGGTTGATTATTAAGTAAAATAGTGACCTTTATCATTTGTTTTTAAAAAATGCTATGTAAAGTAAATTGTGAGTGGCCTAGTTTGCACAGAGCTACATCAAATAGACAAGAAAAAGATGGAGTATTAAATAGGCAAATGGACAAAGGAAATGAGCAGGTGAATACAATTCCAAAGGAAAACTTAGAGGCCTTCCAGAACGCTGAAAGATAACCAGTAGTTTTAGGGGGCTCCCTGTGGGAAGAGAAGCAGGGATTGGAGAGGAGGGCGGAGCTTAGGAAGAAGGTCAGGGTATCAAGGAAACTGACACTGTGTAGAAGGTGTTAGCTCCCACTGTCCACCTTGCTTGCCATTGTCTGCTGGGGACTATCTGCAAACTCCAGAAGGAGAAGAAATACAAACATGGGATAAAAATAGTTCTTCACTACGCTGAAAGTCAGGACATTATAGCTTTAACAAATGAAGAACATTTTTATCCCGTCAAGTTGGAAAAACTTTTCTAATATCCAGGAATGTCAGTGTTGGGATAAAGGCACTCACATATATTGCGGGTTAGAATGTGACTTTCTGCAATCTTTTAAGTAAGTTTACATTACCTACTAGACACTAAAATGTACAATCTCTATTAGATATTTATTATTTGTTTATATTCATATAAATATATATATTTTTATATATTTATTTATATATTAGTTATTTATAGAGGGCAGAATTTAGAAGCAACTTTAATATCCACCAATAGGGGAATTATTTTAACAAAGTATGATAGTTTCACACTTTGGCATTCCATTATGTTATGTAGCTGTTAAAAAGTATGTTAAAAAGTTATGTCCTTGGTTCTCAAACTTTAGATCACGTAAGGAGCTCCTTCTTAAAAACTCCTATTTGTAGGTGGAACTGTAAAGGTCCTGATTCAGTAGGCCTGGGCTGGCACCCAGGAAGCACATCACTTGGAAATGCTGTTGCAGGAGATTTTCTTGTAGTCATTTTCTGACTCTTTCTTGAGAACTGTGCGTTGGACCTCTCCCAGAAGTTCAAAGGGAGGCCTGCAATGTGTCCTACTGTGGACATGTTTTACTTGACTAGCATAATGTTGACCCTCATGGCAGATTCACTGTTAATATTTAAAATTCAGATTCCTAGTACTGCTTGACAAATTGGAGAATACAGTAACACTGAGCCCAAAGTCCCACATGGCAATCACCAGTTGGAGCTGAATAATTTTACCCTTTGTAAAGGAGCATGGCTCTCAATTTTGCCATGGTCTACACTCTTCCCCAATCCCTGCTTTTCTTGTTTATGTTATCCACCTGGTGCCTGTAAGCATTTGCATATGTCAACCCTGATTTACATGTGAAATAGCAGGTTAAGTAAAAAAAGCAAGACACAGAATATAGTTTCATGTATCCTGTTTTTGTTCAAAAGAATAAACAGTGTACATAAAGATGTGCGTATATACACACATACAGATATATGTATATATACATATGTACCAGTGTTTCTCAACATTTTTTATTATGCCCCCTAAGGAGCCTTTTGGGACATTTTTTTCCTTATTGCCATTCTCCCATCTTTTTCCCTAATTGCCCTCCTCTCATTAAATTTTAAAACCTCAGATATATTACATATCTCTTTATGTCACAAACCATTGTAATACCTAACATCCATCCCTCCAAGAACCAATTTTCAACACTTGGGGGCAATATCACCCCCATGGAGAATATATAACGTACACCTATAATTTTTTCTTTTTATAGATGCTTTACTTACCTATAAATATTGTTTTTTTGTCATCAAAAAGAAGGATACACAGCCATCTTTTATTAGTAGTTACATATACCTCTAGTAGATCTGATTGTAGTTGTGAATTAAAAGATAATCAAATTTTTATTCTACTACTGGGAATAGTTTGTTCCAAAATGCATGCATCATAGTCATATTTTTTAATCCATTAAAGGAATGAACAAATTAAAGTTAGTCTTGTAAGAACTACAGAAATTTTCATTTATAGGACTGTAATATATCCAGGTAGTCATGGGTCTTAATTTTTGAGAATATATAAAGTTTGGAATAACTAAGAAGCAAGGAACAAAACACAAATCCTTGACCTTCCTTTAGAAAGAGGACCACTTGCCTTTCTCTTAGAATTGCAGATATGGCATTGGGAACTTTAAAATGAACAGTAAAACATCAGCAGAATTCACCAGTCTCTACTCTTATAGCTGTTTTCTGGATCACAGTGAGAGATGCAGGTGTGGTTGCCGTGCTTCCCTCAAATGTAAAAAGCAGGTCACTAACAATAAAGTTAACCTTTTATGGGTATTAGACATTGGGAAGAATATTATTTCCAGACTGGCTTCCCAAAGTACCTCCTCTCGGAGGTCCTCCTGGAAATAGTTTGTTTTCCCCAGTTTTGAACCCCAAAGTTGCATTAGGAAAAGTCCTTCTTGGGGGCTCTCAAAGTTGGCATTTTTCCATAATTCTAAATTCTAAATTCTGTGTAAATGTTTATTACTGTCCTTCATTCAGGACCTCCTCAGGACCTCATAAACTCCTCAGGACCTTGATTATGATTGTGTTCCTAGCCACTGGCGCATAGAAGGTGTTTAAGGCTTGTTGTTAGATGAATGAATCAGTGAATGGATAGCATGCTTCAGAATTGCCTTCCTCTTCAAATATAAACACATTTCAAATATTAACCTAAGCAATGTTGTGGGCGATGACTGTTCTGAAAACAAACAAATAAAAAATTACCAGACAATGGAAGAGGGCTGATTACCCAAGTACAAATGGCTTTTAAATAAAAGTTTACTCTTAAAATTATTGTTGAAAAGAAAATTAAAAGCTGCACTGAGCTAAATATATTTCTTTTATGCATATTTCATTTTTTTTAGCACAGAAAAACATTCTTGCGATTTTTAAGGATGTGATACTTATTTGACCAACAGCAAAGTATCTGAAGTATATAATTCAGAATCATAGCTTATACCAATGTGACCTTTCTTTCTCTCTCTTCTTTTAATTTATTAAATGAAAGGGTTGTACTAGATGCCCTTGAGATATCTTATGAAAGAAATTCCCTGATTTTCTTCTTTTTAATCAATTGCTGTGTTGAACTCAGTCATAGAAAAAAAAAAGTGTGGTGGAAAGAGGATTTGGCATCAGACAGTCATGGATTTGAATGCTGGCTCCACCACAGGCCAAATTACTTCATCTCTCTGAGTCTCAGTTTCCACATCTGTAGAATGGAGATAAAACTTATTTTCCAAAAGTGCTGTGAGGAAGAAATGAGCTAATGTATTTCAATTGCCTAACAGAGTTGACACTCCACGAAAGTTGCCTTTCTTGTCCATTGAAGCTTTTCTCTAACACAAGACAATAGGTCTCTCCTCTGTGGGTCAGTCCTCCTGGCCTGATGCCATAGATTTATCCCTATGACCTTCTGGATGATTTTTAGGACTGTCCTTGACACTTGGGAACGGTCAACCTGACTTCCTGCCCATGTTTAAAACAATTTTTAGCTTCACGTCCATGTAGAGGCCGATTCCTGGTTTCCAATACTTATCCCTCTGGGTAGGGGGATTAACACAGCAGACGCCTCTCCCTGGTCTCTGCTGGTCGGCTGACTTGATGCTGGACAAAACATACCAGTTTTCGTGCAGTTTAGATCTCCTTACTATATTCAAAAAGTGTCGGATAGTAGTTGAAGGAGAGAAGAAAATGCTGCTTGATGAAAATGCACAACAGAGGAATTAGTCTGAAGATAATAAAACAGAATAGTGGTCCAAAACAGTAGTTTCTGAACAGGGGCCAAAAAGTCTTCCCTGAGTGAGGGTCACCAATGATACTTAAGTCAGCTTCTTGGTATTTGAAGAACAATGTGTCTTTGAACTTTGTAATGGTGATTTCACTTCTTTGTGATCTTCCTGAATTTCCTTTTATATTTAAAGTATTCCTTTTGTCCTGAATTTCTTCTCAAGTTTAAAAATAGCTGTTTGACTACAGGCATTTCATGTGAGCACATCAAAGAAAGCTACAAATCTTCTTTGTATCTGTATGACACACTCTAAATAAAACTCAGGTTTTTATTCTTGATTCACTTTTATATTCTAAATTGAAATTACTCCCTGTTTCTATTGTGTCAAATAATGCCAACATTCATTAGTTTATCAAATATATTTGGGAGCAACATGGTCCACCCAGAAAATAAGTTATTTATGAATGAGAATCTTACCTTCGTGGGAAAGATTTGTATCTGACACTCGACATCATTTGGTTCAATAAAGGAAAGCATTATCAGAAAGGCATTCAGGAAGCAGAACGCCATTGTTTTACGTATGTGTATGGATGAGAGCTGAAAATAATCTTTGCATTTAGACTAAAACAAATGCATCCTTTTCTATACATGCACAAATTCTCACACTCATTCCTTCTGAAATCTACTCAGAATTCTTAAAATAATGTGTTATCAGTAAAAATAGAGGAAAAGGCCATGACATTTATTATAAATAGCTCTTGTTATTTGACTCATTCATGAT